TGTTTTTCTTGTTTCTTATATTTATACCTCTGACCTACTCCCCTCTGCAATGCCCCCGAGGCCTTGGGAAGTGTGGCTTAGTGTGGCATGCTCCTCGCCTCGTCATTGGTTCTAGGGCATCCTTATCGGCTGATGCCGCAATGTCATTGGGTGCGCAACGAGAGTACGGTGCTCAGGAATCCTCAAGCCCCGCGTTTCTTCTACTGTCATTGACCATACGGTAGATACATTAAGGGTGGCGTCTTCTATGATTACTCATATTCCCCGAGTCGCTAGCTTTTTAATTAGTAAAGTTTTACGTATGCCGACAATTAGAATAAAGAACTACGGCCTTACTATGTAAGAGTTTGCTCCATTAACACGCATCTCAGTTCCGGCGGGTTTTCATTCCAGAGCCCGTGCACGTCTGGGAGGTTCGGCCATACGAGAGGGGCACCGAGCTCTTCATTCGGCAACTGCCTTTTCATCGGCTCGTCCAAAAGATCGCCCCGAAGTACATCACGGCCTTCTGGTTTAGGAAAGAAGTTCTGGCACTTCTGCAGCGCATCAGCGAGGCGTACCTCACCTGCCAGTTCAAGCACAGCAGCGCGTGCTCCTACCACGGAAAGAGACTGCTTCTTACGGCCAGAGACGTCCTGTTGGCTAGAAGAATACGCGGCGACGAATTCACTTCGAGCGACGTTTGTGTGCACTGATGCAATGGCGTCTAGCTAGATATCACGCGCATTAAACCGGCTAGTTGCTTAGTTGTGCGCACCGACATATGATTCTGTTTTATTGTTGCTCCTCGGCTTGTATAGAGAATTTCAAGCAGGGCACCTGGTCGCCGCCATGTCTCTGCTCATGTGGGCAAGTGCGTGTAATTGCCAGCTTGCAAAGTTACGTGCACGCGGCACGTGCATGTACGCATAGGGCACCAGTCGGCGCAGCAAGCTTGCAAATGTCTTTATTACGGTGCTTTTAGACGACTGACTCACCTCCGGACAGGTCTCAGAAAGACATAAAATGACGAAGTTGTGTCAAAGCTGAGCAGGTTGGGTGAGTAAACTTATACAAAAGTGATTTCGCTACACACCACCTTGGGGAATTGTACACCCCCCCCCCCCCCCCCTTGTTTTTTTCTGAAGGCACCCCCTTAATTCGCAACGACTTCTCTATTCTCAATGCCCCACCCCTAATTACCCCCCTCCCCCTAAACATTGAGACACCCCCCCTAATTTCAATTAGGATTTTACAATATACGCACGTCTCTAGTTTGAAGGCATGCACTGGATACACAAGCCCCGAACGAGGTGGCGACAAAACTGCCTTCTCTTACTCCGTTGCCCAGTTAGTAAAGGGACAGTGCAACGATTTTAATGTTGAACAATTGGGCAGTTTGCATTTTTTATATTGTTTATGGAAGCCGAAGTGAACCAAAAACACCTCACCTTTCCCCGAAAAAATGCTATTCTGCTGCGTAATCGCAAAGCAAAAAACGAATTATTTACCCATCTGCAGCCGCCTGTCGTGGTTACGGGAACTAAAATGACAGCGTCTCTGGGGGATACGCGTAAGTACACAAAACCTGTCCCTCTCCGCTGCTACACTCGCCGTCAGCCCCGTGGCGAAGCGTCCTTTCTGTCGATCGCTCGCCACGACCTTCGACGATGCTAATCCTTTTGGAAGTCGACAATCGTGAAGGACGCGGCTGGGGTTTCTGAAGAGAGGACCCAGGGGGAAACCACGTGAACCCAAAGAGTACGTCATTCGAAAGTCCCCGTGGAAAGTTGAGAGGCACTTTCACCTTCGATTTGTTTCATTTTTTTTTTTTTTTTTTTTTTTTTAGTAAGAACTAGTGCTCGCAAGAAGATGCGGTTTTCTGCTTTTCGTTCCATAGGTGACGCAGAAAAATTTCCGAAGTTAATTGGCCAAAGTCTGAAAATTGTTGCACCACCCCTTTAAGGCGAAAGCCTTGCTTGTTCCTCTACGCGAAACAGCGGCTTCATTGCGCCCAAAAGATGGCAATAAAAACACGGCATCAAGCATGCGCCGCTCACGCTCAAGTGCAGGAGCGTGATATGTCACCACCAGAGCGCCGAGTGCAAAAGGTTTTCTCCCGCAGAAAAAAGGTTAAAAAAAATGTAGTTGTGAAAGTTTGAAGTAATAAAAGAAGTAACGGTTATTTTCTCATGTAACGGTCAATTACTTTTCTTTTGAATTATTCGAGTATGACCTAATCAAATATATTTTAGCTAAGAGTAATTGTAATCAACTACCTTTTTTGTGTGTGTGGGGCTCCAAAGAAAGAACCCGCCTCCCGGACATTTCCGATCGGGCTACGTCCGAGTCAACACGAAATAAAGCTTTAGTGAACAATTTTCCGCCGGTGAAACTTGGGCTCTTCTCATTCAAAAACAACTCCAATTCGGTTGTTTGTTTGTTTTTCTCCCGATTTTATTAACACCGACTCCAGGGCCCGTTTGCTCGAAGCTGGTTAACTAACCGCGGTTAACCGGATTTCCCAACGAGGGGGAATTTCGGGTCACGTGACCGGCAGGCAGAGTAAGGACGGCGGGGAAACATGGCGGTGCCCCGGTAAGTGAGCGCCGCTCGCTTTGGAAATAATACGTCGTAGTAGCTGCAGTAGCGGGCGCGCTAGTCAGCAATGAATGGTGCAAGAGGCTTTCGCTTTGGCCTTACCTCACTTAAAACGCAAAACATGAGCAATGATCTCGCCACATTTTTTAGATAGACTTTCGACTCTGGCCATTCCTAAGCCTAAATGAACGCGATAGTTGTCGGCATGGCAACGTCTCTGGAAGGTGGATTGCCTTGACTCAATCGGCCGGGTATTGATAGCCCACAAAAGCAGAGAGCGTTCCCATAGACCATTAGCAAAATTTCAAAAGCACCGAGGTGCATGCTACGAGTGTAGTACACGCCCTGCACCTGCTGGCGTCTGCTGTAATAACTGTTCTGAAGCAAAAAGCCTAAAACAAATTTTGCCGTGCACGCGCGTTCCGTCAAAGATTTATTATGATTATTTACTTCAAATCTTTTATAAGTGGAAGGCCAGCGCGCGCGGATCGTACAATTACACTTCCAGCGTTCTTCTCGATGTACGGGTAATTTACTAATAGGTCAATTTTCAGTGGAGCCGAATTACAGGTTTTTCAATTCATGACGGTGTTATATACAGTTCTTACATGGTGGCCAACCATGCTGCCGGCGTACCGCCCGCCTTTCACTGCTCACTTCTTTCACATCGTTTCTAGGACTCAACTTCGTCGTCCTCTTTTGAACTCGGAAGGAAATTTCAACGAGGCTTTTCTTTACTTCATACAGCCAAATATTTAGAAAATTTCCAAACAAGAGTTAATTTAGTTTTACCTTGCCGATTATTTGTACCACAAGCAATAAAAATTGTTTCTTATGCTCAAATGCATGCCGCGCTGCGTCACGAAAACCAGGCAGCGCGCATTTTTTGGGTCCCCCCATTTCGGGAACCTTTCCACGGAAGCCACGGATATTCGCTACAGCCAGTAGGTGACACCAGCCACCACCCTATAATAAAACACGGAGCTATCGCTCATCCAGCCCTCGTCAAACTTGGCTAGGTACTTGTAGGTACCTAGTAGGGAAGGGCGGTTAACTTTTAACCGCGGTTAAAGTTAGCCGGCTTCGAGCAAACGGGCCCAGGACTTATGTTTGGGGTTTACGGTATCAGCGTTGGGTGTAACAGGTTGCTGGAAACGGAGTTAGCGGTAACACTTTTTTTTTTTTGGGGGGGGGGGGGGGGGGGGGGGGGGGAGGGGGGGAGGGGGGGGGGGGGTAAAGCGGTAACGCACTCGTTACGTTTTTCAAAACAGTAAAAAATAACGCACTTACCTTGCTTACTTCGTGTAACAGGTAAAGTGGTTCCGTTACTCAATATATCTTCTTTTCAAGACTTCAAAAAAATACACTTAAATATTTGTTGCAAATTGAAGCCAGTTGCTTCATAATTTTGAATTGTAAAAGCGCCGAAAAAAGACAAGGACAAATACGAAGAAATACAACAGAAGGCGCACTAGCAGCTGTTGTTTATTCGGAAAGCACATGCCTAATAGAAGCCCCCAAGAACTTGTTAATCATCAACTTGTCGGTGCAACGCTTGCCTAATATATTCAAAACATTTCTTTGATATGGCGACTGATGCCCCAGTAATGCAATCTATCACGAATTTTATTTGCCTCGTGCACCTCTCCGCTTGTTTGATCTTGGTGTCGAGTCAAAATCTTAATGTCACCCAACACAGACGTGCAACCGCATCTGCTACAATGAATGGCAGGATGATCAGACAGGCTAGCTCGCGTGGCTAAATTCATTGTAGTAGATGCGCCTTGTGCAGCATCTTTTTGTCTTAGTCGTCTTTTTTGGCGCTTTTACATTAAATAAACAAAACAATTTGTCCTGTTTTTAGGCGTCTTTAGAAAAAAAAAGAAAAGTCAACGGTAACTTCTTTGCCCCGGTGTCGCAAAACGCTGTCGCCGTCAATGCCAAGCGGGGAGAATAGCCGCCATCCAAAAGTAACAGAAAACTAACGTGCATTAGTTTTTATTCGTAACAATAACTGTAAAGTGTTCCTTTTCTTTTGAGGTCACGTAGGTCGGCAACGCGTTCTTTCTATTTGCAAGTGATGAGTAAAGTGGTTCATCACTTCATTTTTCAGTAGCGCCATCGACACTGCATCGGTATCCACCGAAAACGCGAAACCCCCCTTGGGGAACTCCGTGCTTTCTTTCTGTAGTTGCACCTTCGCGGACCTCAATCGGCTCCCAGATGTCCAGTATAGCAAAATAACTTGTTGTTGGGCTAATTGGTGTTGACTGTGTTGAACCATGGTTAAAAGCGCTGAAAAAAGACGTACACAAGATAGAAGACAAACACGGGCGCTTGTGTTTGTCTTCTATCTTGTGTACGTCTTTTTTAGCGCCTTTAACCATGGTTCAATACAGTGTCCAGTAGAGACAGGGATGTCAGAGCATCTTCCGCGCAATCAGGGCGAGCATCACGGACACCGTCGGCAGGATGGCGGTGGCGGCCGGAGCACCGCTGCCGCCCTTGCAGCCCCAGATGGTTCGGAAGGACGTGAACAGCTTGCGGACCGCCTTCTTGCCGGGCTCTGCCGCAGGAGTGCAGTTCCTGGCCACCAGGCAGGTCTTCGAGGCATCGTCCACGTTGCTGGAAGAGAGAGCAACGCGGAGGTGAAGGCAGCGAAATAGCCTTTCCAAGAAGAGTTATACGCATGCGCAGTAGCTCCTTACGCAGCGGCGAAAGCTCGAAATATGATTGGTGTACGAAAGCGGGGAGATGCACTACCTTTTTTGTATTCTCAGCTGCAGGCAACGCACTCTCCTCAGAACGAACAATAGATCCATTTCAGAATTCAGTGCCGTCTGGTGGCTCGAAACGCAGTTTCGCTTTCGACAAACTAATGTCGGTCATGAAACTTTCATTCATCAGGCACCTTCAAATTCGCACGTCAGTGGCACATGAGAATAGGTTCTTCGATCAATTCATAATTGTTTCCTGATTTGTTTCAGTTGCGATGGTGTGAGCGTAAGAACAAACCATTACGAAGCGACGACCCATAAGCCATTGGATTAAAAAACTGCCATCAAAAGTCTGTAAAGCCAAACTGGTGCCAAGAGGTTGATTGGACTAGATTCCTAAATAAACGCTTACGCAGCTGTTGTATATAATGTGTGCGACGTGTTGCACTGACCTTTCGAACGTACAGGCTTCGTATATCCTCCGTTTAGTATCCTGTACTGCTTCCTTCATCAACCCAAGGGCGCCATTAGATTGACACAGATGCCATACACTATAGATGGATGGATGGATGGATGGATGGTAATGACTATATCCATTGTAAAGGGCGGCAGCTTGCGCCACCTAGCATGATGATAAAGATAGCGATCAAAGTTGCCAGACTCAATATCGAAAAAAGGTCTATTGTCCAGTTTTCAAACGGTGGTGCAAACTACTACAGGACTAAAGCGATTTCAGTCGTACGCATACATACATCTATTAATCCGATTCCCTCAGACCTATGTGCATACCCGAAGCTTGGAGTCGTCTTTATCTGTAAAAGGGTCACTTTTTGAACCTGACATTTATATTTCTAAAGGTTGTTTACAGGTTTCCTCATGCACGATTTGTTTACGCACAAATTCTCACTTAGTTCTCACGAAGTAACTACGTGCGTTACCAGTTACTGCGATTCAAAAACAAGGCGTAACCTCCGCTTGAAAGTAGCGGGTTATTAATTTTAGCTTTATTTCAAATGTGTCATTTTTACGAAGCGGTAGCCACTTCCACTATTTGTCGCCGTTAATAATTCTTCGCTTATTTTACGTGTTTTTTTTTTTGGGGGGGGGAGTCAACTGTGGCTGTACAGACATACCTTGTGACACCTTTTGTTATCTGTGTAGCGTTATGTCGTCGTGCAAAGTACAGGCGCGAGCTGGAGGGGCGAACTAGGTTGGGTGTTGTGAAAGAAGAAGGGAAGGAAAACAACAAGGACGTTCGTGCACTCCAAGAAGAAGGAAGGGGAGGACGAATGTGTGCTCTAGAAAGGGAAGAAGACAGGGTCATTCGCAATCGGCCGCAACACACGGTCTTGGCTATACTGCGTTTCAGCTCCACACTCTAAAAAATGGGTATCACCTTACACCCTTTTGTACCATACAATACACCCCAAAACTTCATTTTGACGTACAGAGCCCTATAATCGAACAGATGGCCTCAAAATTTACGAGGGGCTTGATAACGGTGCGATTTCACTTTTTAAATAGCTAAAGTACTGTATCAAAGACCACACAAAGAAAACACTGAATTTTTACAGTAGAGCTAAGAAAACCCAGATTATTATTATTTTTTTTTTTTGTAGTCAGTAACACGTACTTTAGCCATTCTAATAAGTTGTACAACACGGTTATCAAGCCCCTCGTAAAATTTGGGGCCGTCTGTTCGACTATAGAGCGCTGTACGTCGAATTGAAGTTTTGGGGTGTATTATATGGGATGGGACAAAGGGTGTAACAGTACACCCTTTTTTTAGGGTGTAGTCCAGACACAGCCGACGCTACTTGGTAATGGGAGCAGTCAAGCATGCATGAAAAGCGCATCTCACTGGGCCTTTTCTGTTTAAGATTGGTTCAGCAATAATAGGGCACCTACAGAAACATGACAAACACCATGACGGTGCGCTTTTGAAGCTGTCTGATTGGTCACATCAGCTTGAAGCCTCGGTTGCGTCTGGACTTAAAGTGAAACTGAGTATGTACGCCCCGAGCCAGGGATCGAGTAATGTGGATTCTTGGGCGAGTTGGTACTGGAACTTTGAGAACACATGATAGAACTTCAATACAGGGACGATAGTAGGAACGAGACAACACAATGCGCTAACTTCAGCTGTTTAAAGTTGAAGCTAGCGCCTGAACAATTAAGACTGTAAGATATCTTCCGGAAGCTGAAAGTATGATCCGCACGCCATATTTCAGTGGAAAGCTAATCGTGAAATGCGAGACTGATCCGCCTTACGATCTGGTTTGGGTAATGTACCGCATATGGTACGAGACGTCAACGTTTCCTGTGCAAACTGGGACTCAGACAATGAATCAAGTCAAACTCGCGTGATGGCGTCCGATCATCCAAGTAAGAAAATGCGATGAAAGAGGATATTTGGAAACAAACCAAGATGGAGCCCATAAAAGCGCGTCTATCTTTGTTGGGAGATGGTGAAGAAAAGACCCTGGACACTGCAGGAGCGGTGCAGACCAAGAGGGATAGGAATCAATCGCTGCCACCGCCTCCCGAATGAAGAGAACCACAAGTTTCACCCTCTCAAACCACCTCACAGGAGCTGCGAGAAGCGAAGAGAAATGATCCAACTCTGAATAAATGCTTGGACAACATCGGAAAGATCACCAAGAAGCATCGAGGAAGGACGAAGTATGCATTCTTTATGAGAAGCGGGTTGTTGTAACTTGTACAGAAGTTGTACGCACAGCTCGGGTAGGAGAACGGAGCAGTTGCTTCTCTCAAAGAACTTCAGGCAAGCGGTCATGGCGATGGCTCATGATGGTTTAATGACAGGCCACCAGGACGTATACGACAGTGTGGGACTAGGTGGCCGAAGAATGTTTCTGGCACGGAATGCCAAGTGACATTGAAATATATGTTCGTTCGTGCGACATCTGCCAAAGGACAGAGCAAAGGGGAACAGTGGGCAAGTCACCCTTAGGGAGCATGCCAAAAATTGCGACGTCCTTCCAAAAGGAGGCGGTACACCTGATCGGCTTCATCACACCGAAATCTAACTCGTGGAAAATGTACATCTTGACAATGGTGGATGGTGCCACTCGATACCTAGACGCGGTGGCTCTGGAATCAATCGGCACGCCGGTAGTGAGGGAACTTTGGTGGACATGTTCACGCAATACGGAGTGCCAGAAGAAGTCCTTCGTGACCTTGGTTCCACGTTTACGTCAGATTTAATAATGATAGTGAGCAGTTTGCTGTTCATAAAACACCTTTTGACTACACCCTACCTTTCAATGCGCAATGGGCTAGCAGAGCGGTTTAAAGGCGCGTTAAAGAAGATGCCACGAAAAATGTGCTAAAAGAGGCCCAAAGACTAGGATCGGTATTTACCAGCACTGCGTTCCGCTTGCATGGAGGTGCCACATTCAAGCTTGAAGTTTTCGCCGATTGAACTCTTCTATGGGAGAAGGATACGTGTACCTTTGATCATACAGAGGGAAGTGTGGTCCAACGAGACCTTGAACCAGGAGACGGAATACCTCCTATGACTACCTCCAGGAACTCCGAGAAAAACTAGAGGAAACGTGTCGATTTGGACCTCAATGCCTGGAGGAGGCCAAAGCGAAATACAAGGGACTTGACAATAACAAGAGGTTTATAGAGTGGAAGGGTCCTTTCATGTATACTGCATAAAGAAATGAAGTGGATTATAAGCTCGAAGTTGGAGGGAGAAGGAAGGTCTTCCATGTAGATATGCTGAAGAAATATGAAGAGAGAGCAGAACTTGATCAAGCACAACCGAGTTGCAGCGCGGCAACGAGTAGCGGCAGTGCCGAGAGAGACAATGGGGTGGGGAAGAGGACGTAGACGGTATTCCCACCTTGACTCTGACCGGGCAACAAACTGAGAAGAACGTGCTCAACAATCAGCCCTAGACTCCGCGCACAAGCCACAAATTTTGGATTTGGTTACAGAATACCAAGAAATCTTCTCGGATTCCCCCAGGTAAACAAGCCAAGACAAACGAAAAAAGTTATAGATGTCAGGCGCAAAGAAATAATTAAACAAATCATTGCGAAAAGTGGTAACTTTTTGTGCGTTTTGCTGAATTTTTTTGAAATATTTTAACAAGAAAATTTGCATAATTATCACACATAGCAGGCTAAGAGCCGTTTGAATTCCATAAAACAAAAATGTAAAGCGTTTCGAAAAAAAAATGTGATTTTTACTGAATTAGTGAATAATGTCTAAATTTACGCCCATTTTAATTGTTCGAACCACGCGGTCACACGATAAAAAAAAAATATATATATATATATTTTCAGCCAAATGTTTTTAGAAAAAACTTCAGGACCTTGGGATAAAAAGCCACGAATTATCTTTTAAAAATCTAAAATGATCGAGCGCATCACGTGAAACGTTCGAGATGGAATGACCCTTATGTATCGTACAAAAGGCAGTCTGCATACAGATCCGAACGCGAATCACCGTGAGGTCCGTGCTTCCAATGCCGCATGGCAATGAGTCCAAGGAGGAAACTTGGGCACGCGGCATTCGAACCGCGGACCGTAATTTGTATTATGTATGAGCAGTGTGACCCCGGGTTTAAGGGTTCGAACAGAAGACGCACCGCGAGAAGCAGTCGACGCTCTTGTTCGCTTCGACTGGAGGGAGACAGCGGGCCGAGACCGAGGCAGCTGGCCTTGGCGTCTACCCACTAATCTGTCCAATCAGAGATCGGCACTCCTACGTCACCGGCCGCTCTCCCCCCGTCTCTTTCTCTCTCTCTCTCTCTCTTACATTTTATCCGTATAGTTACAACATCCTTCCCAAACAAACTTCGTTGAGCCTCACCTGCACAGTTTCTTGGCGTCAGCCTTCGATGTCTTGAGAGGTTCGGAGAGGAAATCGCGGATCGCCTTGGACATGCACGGTGTGAAGCGCTCCACATCGTGGCACTTGTACGCCGTCACGATGGCTAGAACACAAAAACGCGTAGAAAAAGCAAAAAAAAAAATCAGTTTAATGAAAACCTAAATTTTTTACAACACGCTGCTTTTTTTTTATAGAAAACAAATATTTTGATTATGTGGTTCTTAGCGACCGGTTGCAGGAGTCGTACGGGCTACGCGTATAATAGGGCCTCCACAATATTTCACTTTGTCTCATTCTCCGGATAGAGTTCCGCTTGATCGCCCAACATTGATGCATTATGCCCCATTCCAATGCCAACTAGAAGGCAAGACCTACGTCTGGCGCCACATGATTGATTGATTGATTGATTGACTTCGTTGTGTGGCACTAGAAAACCCACCAGCGGCGACGCTGATGCTTGTTAGGCCTTGTTGCGTGGATCCACTAACGATGACGTTTAATAAGGGGAGGGGGGGGGGGGGGATTTTTCCCGCAAAATTTAGAGGGCAAACTAAATTGTTGTTGAGGTCAGTGAAGTCAATTTTCCCACTACATCTAGCGGGCTAGATGCCCTGCTTGGGAGCAGTTTCTCCGCTAAATTTAGCGGGAAACACTATTGATGTACGAGTCTGTGACGTCCCATAATGCAACCCGCGCTTACGCCGACGTCGACGCCGACGCCGCTAAATACGGGAACGGGCGTGTAAGAGCTGCGCTCTAAAAAAACTCCTTTGTAAAGGGTCTTACAGAAACTCTGCTAGAACCAATTCAGTCGGAAGGAGCCTGGCTCGATATCCGTACTCGAGAACCGAACTAGACGCGATTGCAACGCCATTTCTTTTGGAGCGGCCACTCCGGGAACTGGAGGGCTGCACATACTGGTTTAGTCGAGTCATCAAGGGCCGGTGGCGCCAAAGTCCATGTATAGAGAGAGTCTGGTCAATGCGATTAGCCGGCGAGAGCGGCGCGTCGCCGCCGGCGCCACATATTCCCCAAGTGATGAACTTGTGAAGTAAGAATGAGCTAGGATGACCCTGAAGGATAAGTTTTGTTTTTCCTGGATGGCGCTGAAAGTACATGGATGTATAATTGTAACAGATTGGTGGAAAAGGGGAGTTTCAAGGTGTTGAGTGTAGTTAATGAGCCAGGAAAGATGACATCGATGAGAAACATTCCCTGAAACATTAGGCGAAACTGAGAATGGGTGGGGGAGGGGGGGGGGGGGGGAGGGGGGGGGTTGCGCATTCGGGGTTTGGCTTAAAACTTCCACGGAGACGAATCCGCAATTTTTACCGAACACTCCGTCATGGCCGCGGCAGGGGTAGCGGCCGCGAGTGCAATAAAAAAGAAAGACATTCTGAATGTCACCGTGACGACAAGGTCACGTGCGTTGCCCTTTCAGTTACGAAAAGTTGCAAATTTCAACTCGAATGCGCTGAAATTAAATATACCCTTACCTAGAAATTGTATCGGAGGATACATGTTAAGTTCATTGCCTCCGCTAGGGGAATAATTGTGACTAGCGGTTGCTCATAAGAGCTGTCGCGCCTAAGGTCATTGAAACAATTTCGGACAATGACGTGCCCTTCCTTTCGCCATATTCTTACCAAATAATGACCAAACTTTTTACATATACGACCTTGGGTGGCGCCATGTTTTGACTCGCCGTTAAAGGGTGGCGCTGTAATCGTATCTGGTTCGGTCTCGGCGGACTGAGTTGTTCTAGTAACGTTGGCTAACACGGACAGACAACGCCCCCCAGTTGGTTCAATGAATGGCTTGTTCAAGATGGCCGCCATGGTACCGCAGCCTTGAAACAAAAAAAAAAAGGTCAGGTTTGTAAAAGCGTCCTGTGAAATAGAGCCTACTGAAGAAAACACGTTCACAGCAACTCTCGTCGAAACATATATTTATTAGTTTTGCTGCACCGATGAACTCTTCCTTTGAAGCGGTATGTCTTGAGAAGTCAACTTGGAGGTTCCGTGGTATCGGTAAAGTTCCACGACTGTACTTCTACCATAAACTCATAGCTCATTGACCACGCCAAAAAAAACACAGCACGTCTCGTTCCGTTGTCCCAAATGTAGAAGAAGAAAGTTTTCTATAAATTAAATTGCACTTCTACACATTGGCACCCCCTTCTCTTAAATTAATAATATATTACCTTTACAACATCACTGAGTTAAAAGAAGTAATGTAATAATATATATATATATATATATATATATATATATATATATGTGTGTGTGTGTGTGTGTGTGTGTGTGTGTGTAAACGAAGGAGGTATATTAAAAATAATATATACACTAAAATTCAAGATACACAGAAGTTTAAACGCACGTAAAGAAATATATAAAATTGTAGAAGTTTACACGCAAGGAATCAGTGCAAAAGATTAGTGGAAAAATAAAAAAGGGGGCTTAGGGAACAGACGTCGACGTTTCGACACTGGCACTGCCTTCTTCGGGACAGGCAGTGTCCCTGCCTGTCTCGCGTGTAGCATGTCACCTGCCCGCGCTCGCGGCGATGACTGTGCTGCAGCGACATTTTATTTTCGATGATTTCTTCGTTTTTTGTATTTGTGCGCGGGTGATGTCGGCATCGGGTAGTGCCTTAGCTTTATCTATACTCACAAAGCCTGGCAGTTCAATGACATCGCCATAGAGTGCCCGGTCGCAGGTTTGGAGCGCGAGGATATGGGCCCGTTTGCTCGAGGCCGGTTAACTTTAACCGCGGTTAAAAGTTAACCGCCCTTCCCTACCAGGTACCTACAAGTACCTAGCCAAGTTTGACGAGGGCTAGATGAGCGATAGCTCTGTGTTTTATTATGGGGTGGTAGCTGGTGTCACCTACTGGCTGTAGCGAATATACGTGGCTTCCGTGAAAAGGTTCCCGAACTGGGGGGGATCGGTGGCCGAGTGGTTTAGCAGCACACCAGCTCGGAGCACGTGGAGCGAAAGCTCGCGCTGCAGAACCCAGGGATCCTGGGTTCGAGCCCCACTCCTGCCCGTTTCGATCTGGATGAGCATCGTACCGGCGTGCGGTCGTGTATCACTACTGCGTGATGCACGTTAAAGACCCCAGGCTAGCGGCTGGCTAAATTTCTCATCTACAGCTGGGAGACTCGTCGCCCCTGTGAGGCGGACCAAGTTCTAGGCTGTATAAACACACACAAAACCCCAATTTTCCCGAACTGGGGGGACCCAAAAAATGCGCGCTGCCTGGTTTTCGCGATGCAGCTCGGCATACATTTGAGCTTAAGAAACAATTTTGATTGCTCGTGGTACAAATAATCGGCAAGGTAAAACTAAATTAACCCTTGTTTGGAAATTTTCTAAATATTTGGCTGTATGAAGTGAAGAAAAGCCTCGTTGAAATTTCCTTCCGAGTTCGTAAGAGGACGACGAAGTTGAGTCCTAGAAACGACGAGAAAGAAGTGAGCAGTGAAAGGTGGGCGGTACACCGGCAGCATGGTTGGCCAGCATGTATGAACTCTATATAACACCGTCATAAATTGAAAAACCTGTAACTCGGCTCCACTGAAAATTGACCTATTAGTAAATTACCCGAACATCGAGAAGAACGCTGGAAGTGTAATTATACGATCCGCGCGCGCTGGCCTTCCACTTATAAAAGATTTGAAGTAAATAATCATAATAAATCTTAGACGAACGCGCGTGCACGGCGAAGTTTGTTTTAGACTTTTTGCTTCAGAACAGTTATTACTGCATACGCCAGCAGGTGCAGCGCGTGTAACTACAATCGTATCATGCACCTCGGTGCTTTTGAAATTTAGCAAAAGGTCTATGGGAACGCTCTCTGCTTTTGTGTGCTATCAATACCCGGCCGATTGAGTCAAGGCAATCCACATTCCAAAGACGTTGCCATGCCGACAACTATCGCGTTCATTTAGGCTTAGGAATGGCCAGAGTCGAAAGCCTTTCCAAAAAACGGCGAGGTCATTGCTCATGTTTTGCGTTTTAAGTGAGGTAAGGCAACGCGAAAACCTCCTGCACCATTCATTGCTGACTAACGCGCCCGCTACTGCAGCTACTACGACGTATTAGTTCCAAAGCGAGCGGCGCTCACTCACCGGGGCACCGCCATGTTTCCCCGCCGTCCTTATGCTGCCGGTCACGTGACCCAAAATTCCCCCTCGTAGGGAAATCCGGTTAACGCGGTTAGTTAACCAGCTTCGAGCAAACGGGCCCACTGGTAGCAGAGAGCGTTTCTCGGGGAGTCCGGTATTCAGCGCACAGCATTTGCAGCGGCGAGGACCCGAAACATGGTTTTCAAACCCGACGAGAAAAGAAGCGGTAGCCCGAGAAAAGCGAAGAGCACGAGCGGACATTCCATCGCTCGGGACGAATGCGTTTCGGTTTCTCGCCGCAGCGGGGCGCCCGTTACATGATTCTTGTCTGCCGCTCTACCTTTTTACTTTCGGTGACTGCGTCAAGTGAGGATCTGCGAGGCTTTGTCAGTATCTACAGAGGAGGCTATGGTAGTATAAAGGATGGCACTGCCAGAAACAGAAGGGAATTTAGGTACCCTACAGCGAACAACTCGTGTAATGCGAAACTACCTTTCTGTCGCAGGCAGAGAAACAATGCTTCGCGCCTTGTCGAAAAAAAACAACTGAAAAGTGTCTTGGTGTGAGGGGGATCGGTGACCGAGTGGGTTAGCCCACACTAAAGCCACTAAATGAGCTACGCTTATAGTATCTGCACCAACGTTATTGAAGCAAACTCAGTTTCGCAGCGACCTATTTTCGCTTGCGGAGGCAAGTGGCCCAGGTGGCGGTCACGAGAACTAGGGGCGCTGCAGTCGGATCCTAGTTCTTTGTCTCGCGCGTCATCTGCTACCACCGCGTTGAGAGCTTCCTTTTCTTTTTCTTTTCTTCTTTTTTTTTTTTTTTTTTTTTACTTCCATGTGTAAAATAGCAAAATCATGAAAATGAAGTGCAATACACCACAGAGTTGAGAGTTCTTTGAGTGTTTGAAATTTACTTTTGTCTGCGCCTGTTTCCTTGTGCTGTGAAGTGTTAGTATGAATCAACAACTCGCCCAAGCTCAAGTATTGCTATTCAAACTTGGCGGGCTTTACAATCCGGAAGTAAGACTCGACCGCAGCGCTGCTAGTTCTCGTGACCGTCACTGAGCCCATGTCGCAGGCGGAGCTGTGAAACTGAGCTTGCTCCAGTAACGTTAATCTGCACACTGTTCCCCGATATTGTTGTGGAAGACGCCATCTTGGTGATTGTGCAGTGGAGACGCAACTGCCGATCGTCACGATACAAAAGTGTGATTTCCTCAGCATGCGATTGGGCGTTAGTAACTGCTTCGCTCTGTCGCAAACTGTTTAAACATATGTGGAGGATGAAAAAGCGTTTCCTGTGATTTCAGATAAAGCTTCAGGTAAGCGGCAACCATGATTTTAAGCCACAAGATGGGAAAGTGTCGCTAATCTCAAGCGTAGTTCATCTATTGGTACTAGCCCACACCAGCTCGGAGAACGTGGAGCGAAAGCTCGCGCTGCAGAGCCCATGGATACTGGATCCAATCCCCACCCCTGTCCGTTTCGATCTGGATGAGCATCGTACCGGCGTGGTGTCGTGTAGCACTACCGTGTTGTGCACGTTAATGACCCCGGGTTAGCGTTTGTACTGCACTGACTAAATTACTCATCTACAGCTGAGACACCAGACGCCTTTTGAGGCTAACTAACTTTCGGCTGTATGTAAACATACACGCAACGCCATTACTATTGCTTGTTTCGGTGGGGAATTTAGTGTAGTGTACGTAGATAGTAGAGTTTTACCAACGGCTCGATCGGGGTTGTTGCGCTTTTGATGGAAGTCATTTGCCCAAGGACTGAACGGTCAGCTTCACCGAAACTCACAGACACGTTCGCTCACTGCGAGCTCGCCCCTATCTATACCTCCCCTTCTTCTACAGAAGAACCCACATTCTCTTGCAGCAGGTATTTGGCATTAACCTTGAGATTCTCGAGGAAAGAGTCGAGTATTCTCTCGACCCCAGTAGCGTTTGGAGTCGAGGTCGGTTGATGAAGCGCAAAACCGGCCTCGAGAGGAGTTTCGAATGGAGCATCGAGTCGAGTTTCGAGCTGATGTCCGTTTATGAACACGGCTGTAAATATTCAACAGGTATCACGTGGTGTATAGCCCATCGTTGCAATGTAAGCTGCGAGGAGGTTATAAAAGCGGTAATTGCCTGCAGGTGTGTCCACCTGCTCTCGCCAGCGGCGACGCAACACATGCCGACTTGGGACAAACCTGCGCAGAAAGCATCCGCCATTGAATGGCAAACGCTTTCCATGGCTCGACTTGCTCAATCTCTTAAATCTAGGGCTCTCTACCGTAGTGCTGGATTTGCTACGCCACTTACTGGCCGCTGACTGAATGTTGTGTCACCGGTGAGCCGAACTATCTTTCTCTCTCTCTCTCTCTATATATATATATATATTCATTCAAAACACGGTGTCTGCCGAGAGTTAGCGACGACGAGTACAACGAGGCCATATTGAGCCCAGAAGTACTAAGTGTACTCTACCCGTCAAGGCGGTCTTGTTGGTGAGTTCCCTGACGAGAAGATCGGAGGTGGACTGCACACGGCCGATGTATTGCGTTTCCTGGGAGCTGGCACAGCGTTTTTCCGGCTCCGCGAAACACTGGAAAGCTGCGGAAAACCGTCTGCGGAAGAAAGGAACAGTGTAAACACACACGCACACACATACACAAACACACAAGAAAAAAAATTAGGTAGGCAAGGGGCTTCCGGAAAAAAATCCCCGATTCATAAAACAAAACAAAAAACGTGGATTTGCATTTTTTTTACAACATTTTTTCACCCATAATTACCGTTTCAGACGTCCGTTCGAAACAAGTTATCGAAATACACCTATATTTCAAAAGAGAATCACGAGCGAAAAACATTAAACGATTTTCCTCAAAAACATAAACACCGGAAGGTCTATGTCCTAGGCATTCAGGGCGCTGTTACCTTGTGTAGTTGGTCAAGGCAGCGTCCAGCGCGGCGCCCTGCTTCCTGGTGAGGTCGGTCAAGTTGCCGGTCAGGTCATTTAGGTGACTCTTGAAGCACGAGGTTGTCCTCGGAAAGGCGCACTTGGCAGACGCCGCAGAACCTGAATAAAGAACGTTGCGATCATCGTCTCGTGAGCTAGCAAAAACATACTCGAAAAAATGGTAGCGACCTTTGTCATCAAAGTTTCATATAATACACTGAATGTAGTATTTAAAGGGACACTGACGGGGTATTTATACTCGCCAAGGTTTTTATTTGCACATGACACAGGAGAGCCCAACTACCCAGAACACAATTTACGGGTCGAACTTCGTTTTCTTTCCGCCCTAAAACAGCTCAGCTCATCAAGAACTGGCCATTTTGAGTCGCGCTCACTCTCTTTTCTGTGGTCACGTGCCGTTTTCTATGGCTTAGACACAACCACCAAAGATAATCAGAGTCGCGGGTCATCGAAGGTACACACTCAATACTAAACGAAGACTGAAAATAAGACAACCATTTTTTTTTGTGGCTTCTAAAACGTTGCAAATACGTTGACAATAAAAAAAAAAAAGGTGCTCAACAGCGTGACTTTCGGAAATTTTCTCCTCCTCTATATTTCTTCTTCCTCCCCAGTTCAGTTTCGGTTTCAAGCAGTTGCGGTTTTTGACTTTATTAAAAATATACGCGGCGCTGTAACAAAATATTGATTGTGTAGTCTTTTAACACCATTATAAATTGCCTGGGAAAAAAAAAATTGGGGGGTGTCAGTGTTTCTTTAAGGAATTCGGAATACGCTTAGAGGTCGTTTCGGGGGTGAAGAACACATTGTTTATTCACCAACGTCACATGAGATGACGCCACGGGACGTGGTCACGTGAGCCAACGTTACGCGGTGGGATCACGTGACCTAAAGTCAAGGCGTCAAATCGTGGTGTAACGCAACACTGCGACATCTGGCGACTCTTTTCACCGCAAAACGTCGCGCAAATAATGTGACGTGTGGCGATTCATTCCGCGTGAATGCCGCAGAATGCACGCAAAACCCTGATGATTCATATGATCAGATCCTGTTCGCTACTTTCAGTCCCGACATCGCTCGGGCTGCAAAAGCGTGGACGGTAACTGCGACGCTCGGCGTCCATACTGGAAGTCACAAGCAGTATCGGGCACACTTAATCAGGCATAACAAGTCGATGATGGACACAGGTAACAATTATGAACATCTCCGTGTATCTGATGTTTACACCAAGCATACTTACCCCAAGCAAACTTCAATCACATAAGTCTTTTGAGGCCTAGACATACTCCTTATCGCAACCTTTGGTGTATATATTATACTGGCCGCTGTCGTTTGAATGAGCAGACGAGTTTGAACGAGTTTAAAAATGCAGGCGACAGTTTGCAAGCCCCGGAGCTTTTTGCCCTATCTCCGTTCTTTGTATATAAAGGAAATAAAGAGAGAAAAATAATAATAATAATAATAATAATAACAATAATGATAATAATAATAATAATGAAAGACGTTTACGATTTTCTGTAATGCCGAATTAGAGCGCAGCTCTTCAGGAGGAGGAGAGGGTACGGAGGGGAGGGGATGCCCCTCCTCTTCTGCTCCCCTCCCATTCAGCGGGAAATTTTCGCTAAATTTGGCGGGGAAACTGTTCCGCTAAATTTAGTGGGGAATATCTCCAGCTAAAAATTTTTGCCGCTAAATTCAGCGGGGAAATTTCCCGCTAAATTTAGCGGAAATATTTCCCCGCTAAATCTAGTGGAAAAAATTTCCCACCAAATTTAGCGGAGAAGCTTCCCCGCTAGATCCATAAGAGCGCTTCTAAAGCTTTTCTCGCTGAGGCCACAAAGCCGTTCGGTGTCAACACCCTTTTTCCGGTGAGCTTAGCGAAGAAATTTTTCCGCTGAACTTAGCGGGAAACATTTTTCGCCAAATTTAGCGGGGTAATTTTCCCGCCAGAGTTAGCGGGAAAGTTTTTTACTACATTTAGCGGCAAAATCTCCCCACAAAACTTAACGGGAAAATTTCCCCGCCAAATCTAGCAGGGAAATATTTCCGCTAAATTTAGGCGCCATGTGACGTCATGAGGGTGACGTCAAATGTGACGTCATTCCTGACGTCACGCGTGACGTCACGTGTGACATCATTATGGGAAACGTCCCATAATGTAACGCGCGGTGGCGAAGACGGCGACGGCGATGCCGCTCAAGCCGGAAACGGGCGCCTAAGAGCTGCGCTCTAATAATAATAGTAATATTATTAATAATAATAATAATAATAAATAAATAAATTTTGTTTCACAGGCATTCAGTAACACAGTGCAAATACGGGCCTGTCCAAGGCGCAATGGGCTCGTAGGACAAGACCCGGCAAGTCGGTCAACGAGAATATCATGTGGTTAGTACAAATTGAAGAATAAATAAACAGTAGGTAACATTTCGACAACGCAGGTGGCACAAAGCACAAATGGCAGATTTGGGGAAATCACACTAAACTGATACATTGCTTAACATTGTTTTTAACTTTCTCCGTAATAGCGTTGAAGATGTTCTCCGGAAGTTTATTGAAAACGAAGGGTACATAATAAGACCGAACTATTTTGCCGTAACGCGTAACACGTGGGGGTAAAAAAAAAACGTGGTGTGCAGCGAAGACTCCTTCGACGTACAAAGGGGCGCTAAAGATCATTACTCCACAAATGTCGCAACACTAGTCTGCAAAAAAAAAAAAAAAAAGTCCTTTGTAGGGTTTCACAACCATATATGTCAGGTGAAAAATCAATCCGATATGCTACGCTCTTCAACAAAGCCTTTAATATACGGTCAATATCAATTTGCCACAGTTGCGCGCAATTCCCAAACACTGTAATACCATATCTAAGTAAGCTATAGCCAAGGGCATGTGCGACTGACCTTCTCACGAAGAATGGCATGAAGACTCTATGCTTAAAAAGTATACAGCTCCGAAGTTTCCCGCAAACGGACAACAAATCCGAGTTTTCATGACATGTCAGAATCAACTAACACACCTAAATATTTCGCGCAATGAACGTACGTACCCGAGATGAGGACACTCACAGTCGAGGCAACTCGAGTAGTGTAATGCTACTGGCCAAGTGAAGGTTCACTTTTTTCAGTGGGTTCCTGAAGCAGCCCATTTTTGTTTTCGACGCATTGATTGTAAATAAATTTTCGCCGAACCAGCCCAATATTTGCGCCCCGTCATCTTGCAATAGGTGTACGGCATTATCATACCTGAGATGACGTGGTACTGGTGCGCTGTCGTCTGCATACTGAAAGATGGCACAACCAGATACTCTGGTTGAAATATCGTTTACATAGAGGGTAAAAAGTAACGGTGACAAGATGGATCCCTGGGGGACACCAGCCTTTATCACTACCTATGCACTTTTAAAATGCACGACAGATACGATTTGGCAACGATCGATAAAAAAGTTTTCCAGTATATTGAAGGGGCCACGGAACCCGAAAATATAAAGTTTCTGCAGGAGCAATTTGTGGCTAACCGTATCGAAGGCTTTCGATATGTCCAAGAAAAGGGCGCAGGAAAAATACTACTTTCAAAAGCACTATGAACTAAATCAGAAAAGTCTTCAAGTAGCAGCTGTGTGCCTCTGCGGGAAAGAATGTCAGAGCTATCAGTGAAACTACACATCACAATGAACAGATGTTTTTTAAGTATTTCCCCCATGTATGGCAGGATTGGGATAAGACGGTACCATTCGTGCTTATCTGCCGTTCCTCCTTTAAAAATCGGTTTAACAAGCGCCGTTTTCAAATCTGCAGGTTTGGCACCGGAAAATAAAAAAAAAAACAATTTATCATGCATACAAGGACCTCTTTGATAGCGTCAAAGTTTCGATACAAATCGGCAAGACGGATGTTATCAATTCCAGGCGCCTTGTTGCTTCTTGTACCAAACACAATGGAGTGCAATGTGCATAGGTCAAGAGGCGGTAAAACGCAGAGGCCGACACTCTAAAGTCACCACTTAAATTAACTGACACATCCCCGTGGTCTCTGAACGGCACGTGACCACGGAGAAGAGAGTGAGCTCGACTCAAACCGGCCAGTTCTCGATGGGCGGTTTTTGGGAGGAAACAAAAAAAGCTAATTTCGAACCCCATATTCTGTTTTGGGTAGCTGGCGTTTTGAGGATATGACAAGTACAAATCTTGTCCAGCTCGCTTGCACCTTTGCACTTAATTGCATTATAATCTTAACCTTAAATTGCAAGATACACCCTTGTTAGTGTTAGACTGGTGGCACCTGATAAAACCCGTTTGCTCTACTAACGTCAAACCCCTGGCTAGCTCAGTTGGTAGATCGCTCCACCTGTAATGGGGAGGTCCCGGGTTCGATACCCGGACCAGGCGGAGTTTTTCGGTCGCGCACTAGTCACCTAGCTGTGTTTGGAGATTTGTGTTTGTCCTTTGTCCCTCCTACCCCTTCTCGAGGGGTTATTTTCATCATTTCTTGTCCGGCTCGCTTGCACCTTTGCATTTAATTGCATTATAATAAATACCCTGCCAATGTCCCCTCAAATCAGGACGCAGCCCACGCTACGACTTAATGGGGACAATCAAACTAACTCAAAAGTCAACCGACTAACATGGTGTTCGTCATGTCAATGTACGTGTTCCATCATCGCTTAACCTCTCATGTCTACATCTATTAGCTATAACTAAAATACTGTGCTTTCGAAGTTAGATTTTTTTTTTTTTTTTTTTGTGCGTGAAATTCGGGGTTTAACAGAGTTTATTTTTGTTAGATTCCCAATTCCCCGAAATTCTGAGTTTCCTTCTACTTTAAAAAAAAAAAAAAAATATATATATATATATATATATATATATATATATATATATATATATATATATATATATATATATATATATATATATATATATATATATATATATATATATATATATAATGTACGGACAAAATGCACACTAAATTCATAAAACAAATCACCGGTATCGAAATATATTTCTGCAGCTCCATTTGGCGTTGGCGCCTTTGCGATTGGCAGAACACTAACCGTCCCACGACATATATTGAAAACAAGTATTACTTACAATAAACATCGGTACTTTGAAACGACGAAACTCCTTGACGCATAAAATATTCAGCTGCCCTCCCCATCCTATGAAACCTACCGGTGCACATCCTTCACTGTTATAAAAACCAAACCTGTCCTCCGTCTAGGAAGCACAACTAGTATGGTTCAAACTGGAAACGGGAACAGTGACTTTCGTCGCGGTCGAGAAGTATATATTGGCCCATTGTACTGAACGAACCTTGACGAGATAAGCGGGAAGCTATCTTTTTGTCAGTGGCCAAAGATGAAAGAAAAACAGATTGCGAATTCCCTTGGTCGCTTTGGAGCGCGCCGGGGTTAGTAGACCAGATCGGAGGTGGAGCACGCCATTCGAACGGAGTCACTCCGTCACCGGATCCCCCGTGGAACGTGACCACTCCTGCCGAGATCGCCGGATGCCTTGCCGTCATTCACCTCTCCGTGGATCTCCTTCCCGCGGATTTCACGTCAAAATGTCCATCGAGACGAAACGTACATCGAGTCAAATGTTCAATATTGGACGTTCTGACACTATGAACATTTCGTCTCGATTGACGTTTCGACCGGGACGGACATTTTGAATCTATGGACATTTCGTCCTTATGAACATTTCGACCCGTTACACAGTTTGACTCATATTCGAACACTTGTACTGATACCGACTTGTAACACATGTGTAGTATATATAGACACACGTTCTCGCCCAAACGGTCATAATCTGCATGCTTTCGCAAATCTGAATAACTTTTCAATTTTGTGACAAACCACATTTTCCTGTGCCGGATGTTTAGGAGAGAACAGCCTTTTCTATTCAAAAAATGAAACATTACGGCCCGCTCAACCTCCGCCAGAACGTGCCCAATGGCCTGAACAAGACGCCGAATGTTCAATTTGGAACATGAATGGACTAACTTCGGCTGAAAGTGGACGAGCTGCACATAATATCATTGCAGCTGAAACGTTTAAAATAGAGCTCAAGAACAAATGGAACGCTGTTGCCTCAAGCAATGTTGCACTTCGCCGCACCATAAGGTCCGCGGACACAACTGGGCACAATGAAGCTGAAATTGAACCCTGCGGAGCGGAGGGGGTAGGGCGATCGTTGAAACAATTCGTAAAAGGACAACTCGCAGCAGGGCTATTGGTCACAGGGGAATTCGTCATAGGACAGATTGTCACTGGGTCAACTGTACACCGGAAGAAAGGTGGCATAAAACGCGCAAGGGAAAAGGGAAAAGTTTCAATGACAACTTAATGCTTCGCACTTTGTAGTTTCGGAGCTCTCAGTCACTTTTGTTTTCTGGGTTCCGAGAGAATCCTGTTTAGTAATATTTTTGTCGGGTTTCCAAAATTTGCAAATAAAATTAAAAGAGGACCCGATGAACATTTTGATTTGGTGGCCATTTCGATCCTATGTACATTTTCGACTCTGTGAATATTTTAACCCTATTGGACATTTCGTCTCGATGTTCATAAGGACTCGGTGGACAATTCGACCCGACTGCACATTTCGTCACGATGGACATTTTGACACGCGTCTTCTCACGTGACCTGTTGGACATGTTGACCTGATGAACATCACGTCTCGATGGACACTTTGGCCAGGAGCCCTTCCCGCGGTCCGCATCTCAAAGCAGATGTTTTCACAATAGCGGCGCTAACAACAGGTTTATCGGATTTATCCGAAAGCAATGAACCCTGTTATAACACGGCAGCCTTGGCCTCTCCGTACCCCTAGCGCCACATAGCTGACGCACTCTGAAACACCATACGTACCCCGCCTACATTATGCGGCGGAATTTCTCTTCAAGATTGCAACCACACTCCCCCCTGTCGTCTGCTAGCCGCAAAGCAGATGCCGCCACAGCACTTGCTGATGCTTGCCTCGCAGGCTTTTGTGGGGGCCTCTTAATTGTTAGATTGTTTTCTGGACGTTTCGGTCAAACATTTTGCAGAGAGATGTCCGCAGAACGGGAATTAAGGTTATGGAAATTTAATTGAACTAACTTGAGCAAAAGGTTGGACATGAAGAACTTGAAATTCCCACCTACGGCGTCCATCTGCTAACGAAAGGAGCCTTTCGTTAGAAGTTTTTTTTTATTTCTAACTTTTTACTCGGGTAAGTTTGTTCAGTGAAATTTTGATAACCTTACTGCAAGTTCTTCGGCAATCTCTGTAAAAAATTGTAGCTCGCCTCCACAAACCGATCTATGCGTTCCCTTCAAACGGCCATCGATTCCTTTGGTTCGCGCTGCGGTGCGAAAGCGGGAGCGGGCAGGGGACAAGTTTTTCTTAAATTTTTTACAAGAGCCCCGACTCAAAATCTGTATATCAGATTGACCTTACCTTGCCGGAGTACGAACGCGCAGACGACGAATGCCGCAAGCCCAATAATGGTGCCCGGAATTTTCATGGCTGGAAGCTTGGAAGACCTACCGGGTTCTAGCACAGCTGCGGCTCGACGTCGGCGTCCGGTCGTGTGTAGTCTGGCCCCAGATAACGGGGCGAGATAAGAACCGCGGCGTTGAAGATCCTTATCTTTTAGGGGCGAGTAAACCTGCGACCCGCAGCCGCGCGTGACGAAGCCCACAACTAGAGAAATTGGGGTTTTGCATTTTTTTCTTGATACATTTTTGAATCAATAAAAAATTTGTTTGTTTAGGCAGATATTAAGGGTGTTTCTGCGAATATTCCCCAAAAAAATCCTACAAATAGAAAGTTTGAAGAAAAAGGCTCTTTTTGAGAACAAATTGACAGCCACGGCGGACGTCAGGGATTGCAAGAGACGCATTGATAAACAAGCTAATTGCCTAGAATGGACGGACAGACTTTTTACTAGTGAGAAGAAATATATGACTTCCATCACAAACTCGCTGAGCGTCTTTGAAAACCCTTGAATCAGTCAAGTTTAGGAAGAATTCAAGCCCGCTTGAAGCGTGAAGGTGCCCTAAAATTTCCCCTCGTTCACAGGCTGGCGAGGAGGAAACACGGATGATAAAATAATTATTCGTGTTCTCGCATCACAAGTTTTCCGCCTGCGGCACGTTTATTGCAGCTAAGGTGCAATACATCTGGGAAGAACATGTACACTATGCAATTAATTCTTCCCAACATTGACTTATTTTGTGGTTTTCAATGACGCTCAGCAGGTTTCTAATTATATCCGTGTGTTCATTTTCACCGATTAAAAAGAGTAATTAGTACATTTCAAATAATTATTTTCTAAAGGGCTGCGCGGAACGAATTATAAAATCTTTCTATGGACCGTTTTCGCCTGACGGAAGCCATGTTGAAATATAACGTAGTTAGGTTGGGCGACAAAATCTAAAGTAAGAAAGTTAAGCATAATTAATATATAAAGTATCGAAAAAAACTATTGGCACGAATCTCTCGAATTCTAGCGTATTCCAATCCGCAAATAAAGTGATTTGCTTCTTTTCCCCAACTCAGTCACGTAAAAATTCAACATGGCAACCGCCACGAAAAAAAAAACAAAAAAACGATTATTTAGACAACGAGGCCGTGCTGCTGGATGTGTGAGGTCACCTGTTGGAGGCCAGCGCGGGACGCGAATCGAACACGAGTGCCGCGTCAGTGTTCCGGCTGCGACTCGAATCCTCACTCAATGGAGCCCTGGACTATGGTGCCTGGATTGCGTCTTTGACTGGTGCGTTTACCGCGGCCAAAAAAGTGGTCCCTCGATTTCCGCCTGATGACGTCATAAAAGTGTCATGCTGTCGCCGGTCGCGACCCTGGTGGCGTCCCAACAGTTATGGTGTATGTAGCAGATGCCTGTTCTGCTGCAGGTCGCTTTCCACTGTGACAGTTCACGGAAGCTAATGCAGCCGGAAGTTGGAACGCCTAAAGGGACGCCGTGACGACAGCGACACTCGCGTTCGCTCCTGCTTTTTGCCAGCATTTCTACGGCCAACCGCCAGCATCGCGACAGGCAACAGCATGACAGTCGCGTCATTTGTTGCCACATCGGGACCACTTTTGATGTATGGGTGGGATAGGACGCTAAACACACCAGTCGAAGACGCGCTCCAGGCACCATACCTGGACTAAGGGCACCGACCAGAGACCGCAAGGTCCTTTCACTTTATCGATTAATAAAGTTTACGATGATGATGATGAACGCGTCTAGGCCGAATGCTCAGGCAACACTGTTGCCCAATTCTTGTCCCGAGCTGGCCTCCCACGGATGACGTCGCAAATCCATGACCAAGCCATTGTTGTCTAAGGGGCCGTGTGCTCCTCCTTACTCTGTACCATGTACCACGTGACACTGAAGAGAACGAGTGAGAGAGAAGAAAAGCGAGGAGTGGAAAGACGCCCCGATACCCGACTCCAGGTAAAAATTGTGTCGCAAACTGCTAGGCCATTGCGTTATACGTGCAACGCTCAGGTACCGCTCCGAAACGTTATCGAGCACGGCGTCTACGCTCACGGCGCTCTTCATCGCGATAGCTTAGCACGCGGCATATAATAAATTTGACAGCAGTTCCTGGAACGAAGATACTGGCGCTAGTCGGGTTTTAAGGCCCTGGCGGTTTTCCAGAACCTCCCGATACTTCCCGGAATCAGATAGTCAGCGTTATGCTTTTGATTATTATAGGGACAGCATGCCCGGCGAGATGCTTACTGGTTATTGCTGTGTTCACCAACATTACGAGATGCTGTCTGTTTTGATAGGCCATAGTCTTATCGCAGTTTGTTATTGTCCGCCGGCTAGTAATTTTACGACTTTTCTTGCTCGCCTAGAATCTTTTCTTGAGTTAGCAAATGAAAATAAATACAATATAATCCTAGGGGGCGACCTCAATATAAACGTGCTACTTGAAACGTCGGATAAAAGACAGAGGGATATGGTAATTAAAGCAAACGAATGTATGAATACGATATCTTTGGTTACTAGGATCACTACTGGATCTTCCACACTACTCGATTTGTTTATTAGGAGCTTTGCAACATCACAAACTAAATCTGGCGTAGTAAGAACTGACATAAGGGACTACTTTGGTATACTTTTGTGTGTAAAGATAAACAAAAATAAAATACAGTAAACAGACGGTGGTAAAGTTTCAGAATGATTATAGCGCAAGATAGCCTGGATGACTTTAGACAAAATCTTCCTTTTATGAACTGGAGCGACGTCCTTCATGAAACGGATACACATAAAGCGTACACTATGTTCTTCAATCAATTTCAAAAACTCTATGTAAGTTGTTTTTATATATAAATCAAAAAGTGCTTCTAGGAAAATTCGTAAACCATGGGTTACGAAGGAATTACTTGAAAGAATTCGTATAAAATTGCGCTATATCAAAAAATTTTGAAAACAAAGGAGATAGAAAAACTTTCCATTTTCAAACGTTATCGCAACCAGTTAAACTGAGAACTTCGAAACGCTCGAGAAACATATTTTGTTGATTTCATGTCGACGTGTGATAATAGAACCGATATTATAAGGAAAAAGCTAAACTCTGTTCTAAATCGTACATGTACCCCGAAACAAGTAGAAACGACAAAATGCGATGGTGAGGAATTGACAGGAAAATCATTAGCGAATGTATTCAATGAGTAGTTCGTGAGTTTATCTAAAGACACCCCAGACTCAGATGCTTGGAAGTTTATAGGCTTTCGAAATTGTGCATCCATGTTCCTTAGTCCCGTTGCTGATATAGAGGTAATATCCCTCTTCAGTGCATTAAAAAAACAGTAAAAGTTGTGACGCCGACGGTTTACAGGTGAAGCCTGTAAAGTATGTAATAGATATTATTTCCCCTTGCCTGACTCATATATTCATTCCCCCTTGCAAATGGTGTGTTCCCCAAGCGAATGCAACTGGCAGAAGTACGGTTTTATTTAAGAAAGGTAAGATGAACTAGGGAATTGTAAACCGGTTTCAATTTTGCCAGTGTTTTCAAAGGGCCTGGAAAAAAGTTTACAACTCTAAATGACTTCATTTGCAAATAATCATAATATAGCAAGTTCATCTCAATTTGCCTTCCGCAGACAGCGGTCCACTGAACTTGCTGTTCTTGCACAGAAAAAATATAATCTCAAGAACTTTGAAAATAAAAAAAAAACGAACTCTCAGTTTATTTAATGACTTTACGAAAGCCTTTGACTATCTTGATCACAATTTGATATTTAAAAAAATCAGAAATGTATGAATTCCGTGGTCAATTGTTATTACTTATAAATTCATATGTGTCTTCCCGTACACATTAATGGTCATTTATCGGCAATAAAATCCATTCAGTCAGGCGTTCCCCAGGAAAGCACCTGTGGCCCTTTCTTATTCATCCTTTACGTAAATGACATTGTAAATATCAGCCAATCAACGAAGTTTATTATTCATGCTGACGACACTAGCTTAGTTTTTACTGGTGATACCGCCTCAGATCTCGCATAGATACCGTGAATGATACGCTAGAAAAAAAATGAAAGCCGCTTACAACTCCCTGTAACGCCGAATTAGAGCGCAGCTCTTGAGGAGGAGGAGGGAAGGGCACTGGGGGGGGGGGGGTTAAACAAACCAGGGGGGTCACGTGACCTTGGGGGGTCACGTGACCCCCAATGCCGATGATGTGATCACTGACGTCACTGATGACGTCGTCAGTGACGATGCGATGCGGGTACCGATGACGTCATTAGTGACGTCACTGATGGCTTCACCAGTAATGATGACGATGACGATGCGAATGTCAGTGACGTCATCAGTGACGTCGCTGATGACGTCATAAGTGATGATGACGATGCGGATGCCGGTGACGACATCAGTGACGTCACTGATGACGTCATCAGTGATGATGACGATGCGGATGTCGGTAACGTCATCAGTGATGATGACGATGACGATGCGGATGCCGGTGACGTCATCAGTGATGATGACGATGACGATGCAGATGTCGGTAACGTCATCAGTGATGATGACGATGACGATGCGGATGCCGGTGACGTCATCAGTGATGATGACGATGTGGATGCCGGTGACGTCATCAGTGATGATGACGATGTGGATGCCGGTGACGTCATCAGTGATGATGACGATGACGATGTGGATGCCGGTGACGTCATCAGTGACGATGACGTCATCGGGGGTCACGCGACATCGGCGGGGGTCACGTGACCTCGGGGGGTCACGTAACCTCGAGGAGGGGGTCACGTGACCTCGGGGGGTCACGTGACCCCCACGAGGTCACGTGACCCCGGTGGGAGGCTCGCGGGGTGCATTATGGGACATTTCCCATGATGCACCGCGCGGTTACGCCGACGGCGACGCCGCTCAAGCCGGAAACGGGCCCCTAAGAGCTGCGCTCTAATAGCGAAATGGAGTAAATATAACGCTTTAAAAATAAACATAAATAAGACTAAGGCAGTTCTATTTCGCCCAAAGAATAAAGATGTTGACATAAACAAGACCATTTGTTTAAACTTTTCTAGAATTGAGTTAGTCGCTTCTTTTAGAACATTGGGTATTTTTTTCTCAGAGACAAT